CCGCAGGGCTGCCTCTGTAATGCACTTTACGGGAGACTCTAGCCTTCCGACGCCAAATTTAAAGATGACACGCACGCGTCGCGGCTGACTGCCAGCCACGGGCAAGAGCTTGGTGGACCCAGCGGGCCCTTAAGAAAATATGCAACTTACAATAATTCAAATCAGACTCCTAAAAGTCTTTAAATCGGATGGGCGACGCCGCGCTCACTCCTGCACGACTCGACACATTCCACGATCATCTCCGATCACTTCATCGTGGACTTCACCACATCCTTGAACTCGAGGAAGGCATTGTAAGCAGCCTGTGCATCTGCCGGGTTCACAGTGCCGATGAGGTACGCCGGGATTCCCTTGCCCGAGGCCACGGCTGCGGCCACGATGCCTGCCCAGGCGTTGTAGACGTCCAGCGTCTTGGCCTCTCCAGCCGAGGAGACCATGTGACCGATGGCTGCATTGATGGCCTGGTAATCAGCTTTGGAGGTCAAGCCGTTGGCATCGATGCTGCCAATCGCCTTGGAGTGAGCCAGGACGCCGGCCTTCAAAGCAGATGGGTCCATAGCCGCGCCCATATCAATGGTCTTGGCGATGGCCTTTGTCATCTGCAGGGGATCCGCTCCCGGGATGTTCTTCGCGTAGTCCGCGGTCCAGTCGATCTCCTTCAGGAAGGGGTAGGAGGCGTCTGACAGCTTCTTGGCCGCATCGTCGATCTTGTCCGCAAAAGCGGGCGCTGCGCCCAGCATGCTCAGTGCCCCTGCAGCTGCGGGCGCCATGCTGCGAGCTGGGCGAGCTGGCCCCGGCACGAAGGCCGGGAGGCTGCAGAAGCAAACTGCCACAACCAGCATCGAAATCACGCGCACAGACTTCGCCATGATCTTGCTGTGGGTCCTCAACCTGCGCTCTGAATGCCTTGATCTCGAACCTAAAAGCTAATGCGGCCCAGCCTGAGCAGCAGGGCTGAATGCAGGTGCCCTGTCGTGCCCTGTGGTGCCCTGTGGTGCCATTCTCCCCTCCTCTCCCACCTGTCCGCCAGCTGCATAGGGCCCGGACGAAAGGAACTGACAGTCGCCGGGCCGAGCCAGCAGCAGCCCACACCTGGCGAGGGTGGCTGTGTAAGTGGGTGGTGCTTACCGAAACAAAGCCCATCCCTAAAGGAACCCCCGAAATAGTTTGGGTAATTATTCAGACCCCTACATTAATTATGGAGTTTGGGAGTTCAGGGTGCTAATATACAGGAACCTGATGAACCCCCTGGTCCCACAACCCCAAAATACCAGGATCCATACAGAGAACCCTAGTACGAAACATGACCCGAGGTTTCTCAATCAGGTTCCTATATTATTCTTAGATGGGTGGAGACAGCCTCATGGCTTGCAGATTTCGGCACAGAAACTGTGCTTCTTGGAAGCCCACCACTAACACGCCCTTAACTTAATGGTAGCATGGCTGCAGCGGTGCCAAAGGTGTGATGATTCTGGAATCGTTTTGAGAGTAGCCCCAGTAATTGTCGTGGTCGGGGCTTGGGTTCGGGGCTCCGGGTTCGGAGTGTTACAAGATGTTAGCACCACGAGGGGCTGCAACCACTGCCACAAAAGCCCCTGCTGCATGTCGGACGTAGGCGCAGAAGGCACCTCCAGACACCCGAGCATGACTCGCAAGCTAGGGCATTTTCCGACGGAACAAAATGGCGACGTCCGGTAAACGCTGAAGTCGCTGAAACTCACAGATCGATTAAATCGCAGCGGCAGCCGTTGAATTTGTTTACAAGTTAGCTGCCTGCATACGCTTAGAAAGTGTATGAGATCATGCGACGCATATCGCGCATGTTCAAGAGGATCAAAAGAAGGCTCAGCGCTGGGACGCCTTGACCACATCCTTGAAGTCCATCAATGCCTGGTAAGCTGCCTTGGCATCCTCCGCATTTACCTTGGACATCATGTAAGGGCCCANNACATCCTTGCCAAGGTTGAACTTGGCGAAAGCATTGTACACGTCCATGGTTTGGGATGCTGGCACCGAGGCGATCATGTGCCCGATAGCTGCATTAATGGCAGTGTAATCGGCCAGAGTCGCAACACCCTTGGAGTCCATGTGGGCAATGGCCTGGCTGTGAGCCAGAGCACCCGATTTCAGAGCTGCGGAGTCCATGGACGCACCCATCTTCAACATCGTGTTGATCGCCTTGAGCACCTGGAGAGGAGGCTGGGTGGGGAGCTTGCCATAGACATCGGAGGTCCAGTCGATTTCTTTCAAGAACGGGTAAGACTTCTCGGACAGCACCTTTGCTGC